TACTACTAACACTACTAACACTACTAACTACTACTACTACTACTACTACTACTACTACTACTACTACTCCTACTACTAGTACTACTACTACTACTACTACTACTACTACTACTTCTACTACTACTACCGCCCCCACCACCACCACCACCATCACCACGGAAAAGACCCGTCGAGCAGCGGGATATCACGTCGTCGTAGCTTAGGCAACCGATGGCAGCCGTGTAGATCTTTTCGAATCGGATTTCTTGCAGGTCAACGATTCTCGACGTTGGGACTGGCACAGGCCTTGTCGCGAAACACCACCGAACTTTGTGCCACAAAGTCACGTTGTCACTTTTCTGCTCCGGCTGTGCTGAAAGCGAGTGTCGCTGCTCCAAACGTTTAAGATAATGCCCCAAAACAAATCTCCAAGAGAATGCATCGAGGTATGCACTAGTGACTCGTATAGACAGCGGTTTGCTTTGACATCCATCATGCTTCATGCGCAGGTGCTCTATTGCCCTTCTTTGAAGCAGCTGGTGGGTCGTTGGAGGCTGCTCATGTGCATTTTTACGGCCACCCTCGAGCTATCATCAGTCAAGGCGACACATTTGTTTCGCTAACACCCTGGGTTCATGTCCAGAAACTACTGGGCAAGTGAGGCTTTATGCTTTGCACTTAATGGATTGTCGGAGTTTCCGTAGGACAAAGATTGCATGTAAGTGCGTATGTCCTTCCTGCTCAGCGCGCACCAGCGGAGAACATATCCTATATCCAAAAACTCACAGCGAGCCTGCTTCTCCAGGCATTGACGGGTGTGGACCTTTCATCAGGGATGCTTGCCTACGCGCGAGAACGTCTGCTGCTCAGTGAACATGTATTTATTACATGCCGGCGGTGGTGATTTCCCGATTGTCTCAATGATTGATGCGGGTGGCCATCATGCTGTCGGACCCCACTTGCTTTCTGCAGACTTTCACAGGCTTTCCACAGGCTACCTTCGTCCACGAGGACAGGGGTCAAGCAGGTACTCTTGCCTCTTGTGCTCAGTCGTTCGTGCTGCCATGGACATGGCTCAATGCAAAACCGAAGAGAATAGTTTCCAGGACGTGGCAGAATATTTGGGCCCAGAGGGTCGCCGCTACGATCGCGTGGATGCTTGATCCGCAAGCATATCTGGCAGATTCATGTCGAAATGGAGGTGCAGAGACAAGGACATGATAGCTTTCATTGGTTCGCAGAGGTGTTCAACGCCTGCTTCGGCAACCTGTTCGACCCACCTGCCGTGCTTCGGCACGTAAGTCGCAATTTGCTTGCAGACGGTGGTCTCATAGCACTGACCTCAGAGTGCGGGTGCTTGGGGATCGGTGGGCAGTCATCCTCAGCGCCGTCAGACAGCAGACCCAGACCTGGGAGCCTGTGGCACAAACTGCCAACATATTCAAGCCTCGTAGCAGGACATGCAACCAGCATTTCCACAAAGCAGAGTTCGAAATCGGACTAAAGTAGCTGGCCCGGATCGAGACTTCGCGCCATCTCCGAGGTGATCAGCCACCCTTTGGGGAGAGACTGGCTGCGTGGATTGCAGAAGCGGGATCCCCAAATGGCGTGGCGCCCAGTAGCCCAAACGCAGGTGCCTACAGGCAGACCCCCGCTCCAACGCCTCCGAAACAAGAAACGACAGAGAAATTGTTTTCCTGTTTCGGAATTTCTGGAGAGGGTTAGGTGGCCACGCGAGGGTGGCTCAGCGGTTGATTGTTCAGGACAGGGGCTAGGTCGGACCCGACACGGGCCAGATGTTATACCTTCTCACACTCCGGGCGTTTTTCGCCCAGGAGCCTTTGAGCTATCCTGCTGCCGTCTGTGTTTTGAGTTTTGTTTAGGACGAGCTCATGCTGTAAAGGGTTTGGCACCGCCTGTGAAGCCGCGCCGCCGTGAACACCTTGCCCACAACTGCAGCACGAGATCTCAAAGAGCTTGGATGCTTAAGCCAAAGTTCCAGACTTCACATTTGCAAGGCTCTGCTAGACCAAGTTCGAAGCGGTCCATGGAGCTGTGCCGCAGGTGTTGCATGACCTCCCCGGGCACGCGGAAGTGGATCGGATGTTGAAAGAGGCCATCCAGAAGGGAGGGAAGGTGGAGAGGGGAGAGAGCGAGAGAGATTGCCAGCTCAGAGCGAGTGGATGGCGGTCCAATTCAGAACAGACTGTTCCTGGTTTCCTGCAAAGACAAAGCTTCTCTGTGGTGAGTACTTCTATGGTGCATTGACATGGTCTGTGCTTACACTCGAATCCCGCAATTTTTTGTCCCCCTGCATGAGTTCTTTTGCTTTAGATTTCGGTATAATGCCCTGCAATATAAGACCTGATGATGCCATACAACATGATATGATGTGATTACAAGTATGGATACGTTACGATACAATCTGGCATACACGCGGTCTCAGCAATGGGAAGTCCCTGCCAGGTCCCAGAGCTCAGTGTAGAGCTACTGGAAGATGAGACGGACTACTACTGTCTCGTGCTGAGGCGCCAGGCATAGAATGCACGACTAGGTCTCTTGGATCTCCGGATTCATCAGTTTCATAGTTCATGGCTTCGTGGAGTTTCCATAGGCAGAAAGCTTAGAGACACTTAGCACAGCCCATGAGCTGGCAAGCCGGAGCAAAGCCTCGGACGCTTGTCAGCAGTCGGGTTCTTGTTGGAGGTCGAAAAAGCGAGTGCCATTACTGCATCACGCAGCACAAGTCCAGTGCGCTTGCCACATCTAGCCTATGTCACGGTGCATGCAGCCAGAGCGCTTCTGCCTTCATATGACCACGCCTTCTTTCCGGCACCCCACGTCTGAGATCCGCTACCCAGAGACCCAAAGCCCGGCTTTGTCCTGAATTTAGAGAATTGAAGAGGCATTCAGCGGTTCTTTTTGTAAGACTAGGTCTTGTTTTCTGACGCTCCTGTTCCTAAACCCCTAAACCCTTAAATCTACACTGAGGTGGCCACTGTGCTCGCGCCTGGCTTCCGGCATCTGCCTCATAGTTGGGCCTTCCACAATCGATGGACATGCAGTGTATGTGTATATAGATGGATGATCAAGGAAATATGTAAGCAGATAGATATGAGGATGAACACACATATATATACATATAAAAAATGTAAATGTAAACATATTCGTTGTATTGCCCTGTTTTCTGTTTCTCATGCTATCATATTCTCATCTCGCATATCATCTTGTTTTATCTTATACGGTCTCACATTCCATTATATTATCTTATGCTACAGGTTGTGTTTATATACATACTCTTAATACAATACACATACGTGCGTGTATACATACATACATACCTACATATATGTACATATATATATATATATATGACCGTGTATATACATATATATGCGTGCAGGTACTGTTGCCTTTCGAGTCTGCTGCTGTGTATAACTACCACATACAGGCACATATATACATATATACATATATGTATATTATGTATGCATGCATGCATGCATGTATGCATGTATGCGTTTGGTTCTCTCGTTCTCTCTCTCTCTCTCTCTCTCATAAACTTGTATATATCTATATAGATATTTACAGGGTCTTCTGTAAGCCAGGGCGGGCAGACGGGGGTCTTCTGTAGACACGGTTTTTTTCTGGAGATGGCTTCTTGTTAGATATGGTCTTGAATGTTGTGGTAGAAACAGATTGCGGCTCTTATGATCTTATTCCGGCTTTCTGGCTGGCTTGGCAGTTCAGTTTCAGATATATGCGTGTGTCCGTCTGTTTGTAAACCCTATATATGCATGTCGGCATGCACACATGCACGAGTACATGCACGTATGCATGTGTGTATGTATGCACGTAAATATACATGCCCTGTACATATATATATATATATACATATATGTATGTATATGTCCACACATATGTACTCGCGTATGTGTATGTCTGTACACAAACATGTGTATATATATATATACATATCTGTATTTTTATTTATCTGTATAAATGCACACATATCCCACTGCAGCATGCGCCAAAGCATAACGAGATTTGGAAGAGCAAGTTAGTAGCTACATATAGATATGTATGAATGCATGCATGCAAGCATGCCTGCCTGCTTGCATGGATATATGTATGTACGTATGTATGTATGTATGTATGTATGTATGTATGTATGTGCATAATCCGGTGCAACATGTACCATACCCATTACGAAAACACGAGGTTTGGAAAGGCAAGTAGTGAATACGAGATGTAGTCGGCTTTGCTGTTGTTGTTGGTGGTGGTGATGGTGGTGGTGCTGGTGGTGGCGGTGGCGGTGGTTGTGCCGGTGCTGCTGCTGGTGTTGCTGGTGTTGTTTGTGTTGCTGGTAATGCTGTTTTGCTGCTGTTTTAGATGAGGTTGTTGATGTTTCAGGTGGTGATGCGGATGGTGATGGTGATGATGATGAGGAGGAGGTGGTGGATGAGGATGGTGAAGATGAAGATGATGATGATGATGATGATGATGATGACGATGGCGATGGCGATGACGATGATGATGGTGGTGATGGTGGTGATGATGATGGTGATGATGATGGTGATGATGATGATGATGATGATGATGCTGCGGCTGCTGCTGCTGCTGTTGTTGTCGTCCCTCTTGCTGCTCCTGCGGTCGTTGCTTTCTTGCTGCACTGTGTGGGTGTGTGCATACTGCACGCGCGTGTGTTCAGCCTGTTCATGCCTGCAACTGCCTGGGCCGATTTGCAAAAGACCTGCGATCGCCGCAGCAAGCAGGTACTGAAATACACGTGGTGTCGCAAGCGTCTCCAGGCCATCAAGATCGATCCCGCATGTATGCACATGGTGTACCAACAACCTGTAGCAGTAAGCGTGGCAGTGCCGAGCGTGCATCTCGCGGTATAGGTGACTGTCCGCTTGCTTTGACCGTCTCCTGCCACCGAAGCACTAGCTGTGGCTGAAAATCTTCGTTATGGAAGGCGGTGACTCCCTTCGCCTGGACATGGAGACTGAGCCGAAGTCTCGCCAGCACATTGCAAGGGCAAGTTGAATGTGACAGCTCAAGGATCAAGGGCTCAACTAATGCCGTCCCGCAGGCAAGTTGTGCCATCGGGCATGGATACAATCGTGTGCGTTGCAATTATCACCGCTGCGGCCTGAGCTGAATGCATTCAGCAGTAGGCCCGTGAATGACACAATTGCAGCATCAGCCGAAAATCGTAGGAGCGGGAAAGAGCTAGCTGCCAAGAACATCCGAGTGGTCGAATCCAGCACACTTCTGCACGTCGTACAATCTGAGGCAGGGCTGGTTGCCTTCCTGTGTTCGGGTCACGCTGGCGTGATTCTAGTCCTGGCAATCTTCATTTGCATAGCCGGGACCCCAGCTTATTCACCGCATGATTGCCAGCAAGAGTGGTGCAGAGCCTCTGCGATGTCGAAACCCCAGTTTTAGTGACAAGAATCCGTCTGAAATGGCGGTCTGCGCGCACAAGCCGCTGTAAGGGTCCACTGCCCCAAGCTCTCACCAACATTCAGCCGTCTAGTCCGGTGCTCCTTCGGCCCTATGCCTACATTCAAGTTTGCTGCTGGCAAGACGTGAGCACCCCTGACCTTCGATACTGCTTCCCAGTGGCTCCTCTGCGACCTGATGAAGATCTATCAGTATTATTGGCTGGGCAAGGATGCGGAGAGACTGCTGAGGGGAGTGGCTCGAGGGTCAGCGTAGACTTTCCGGGATCCATTGGAATCGGAAGGCCTGAGCAGCTCGGAGTTCGAAGCCCCAGTGTTCAGGGCATAATAGATGTGAAGCCTGACCTGATCTGCAGTAGGTATCGGCAGACCTTGACAAGCCCACCCTGATTGAGCCTGAAACTCGTACCATCTAGCACCATCCTACGCTGCAGGACCCCGAAGTGGTGATCTCCTCGGGTCAGATGCCCATGCGCCCGATTCCCAAGCACTGTCGGGCAGAAGGCAGCGCAAGTTCAGGTTCGAAGTGAGGATGTGTAGTCCAAGATCACGCGTTCGTGACTGACATGCAGGGGTTGGATTTGCAGTTGTTGGGGAAGACAAGTGAAAGGCCTCCTGCACAGGTGTTTTGTCCTTTTCTACGTAGCATTCGCTAGTTCTGTCATGCATTGGCATGAGCAGTAAAAATACATTGACATATCATGAGCCCCGCCTGCAGCCAGAGGGTCTGTGAAGTAAAGCTATCCAAGCAGAGATGTGCGCACGTCTCTGAAGCAGTAGGTAAAATCTGAACATCCCTGCCACTGAAGCCGAGACCCGACGCCCTAAGTGCTCTAGATTCAATAGCTGTCCTATGTTAGTGCCTCGGTTTGCAGTGCCTCTCAGCTCTCAGGGCAAGTTGGAGGGGTCCATGTTTAACATACTTGAGGTTTTGGTTGAAGAGCGGCGGTTGACCTAGCTGAGTGTTGAGCATGATCCCTTTGGCAATGCCTTGCTGTCGGGCCTGGTAGGTTACTGGTTCAATGGTGGTATATGAGTTTTACTCGGTTTGGGCCGTCACGGCTGGCAACAGCCTCAGCCAACCTTGGCATTCAACCTAACTTAACGGGCAGGTGGAAAAGAGGTGTCAAAAAAGGAAGCCCCCATAGTCAAAAACCCCTCAAGGATAAAGCCCTGAAGCCCCAAGAGCGCCTGCAGAATAATCTATGCCTTTCCAAAATCAAAGCCTCTAAACCTCAGGAGCCCTTTGACATCCGTCAACTTGAAACCGCACGGCCAATCCGCAGAATTTGATTCTCAGCCGTAGTCGAATCGATTGTCACTCCCTGACTGCGGCTGGCCGGTGACTCAAAGTATTTTGCTAAAGTGTATGTGATATATGTTCTGAGCTTTTCTGCCATATACGTATACAAGTTGGGACAGGTCACACACATGTTTGTAGATCATGCATCCATGCATGCATGCATGTATGTGTTTGTATGTGTATGTATGTAGGTATGTATGTATGTATATATATATATATATGCACATGCCTGTATACATATAGAGATATGATATGCATACCTATCCTTCAGCACCCAAAACAACTGCACAATGATATGAAACGCCCGCTAGACTTGTTCACTCGGGATGACGCAGGACCTCTGAAACGACCGTTCCAGCTCGAATAGACCAGTCAGACTCTCACCCGTAACAGTTCAGGGTTTAGGGTTTAGGGTTCAAATCACGGAATAAGCACGTGTTTGGGTTCAGGATAATTAATGGCCAGGGGTACTTGGAGGACCATGGGACTTAGTAAGTAAGGTTCTAACTACCTTAATGGGGTTATAATTACTTATAAGTATAGTTACCTTATGTATAGCCCTAGTTACTTAGTCCCATGATCCTCCAAGTAAGTGCTGGAGATCGAGGCTGAGGGCTTCGGCCGTCAAGGGAAGAGGCTCTTATGGGGTTCAACCCTAGCTCCTAAGCCCTACAACCCTAAAGACCCACACCCTGGTGGTAGGTTCCCAGTAGCCCCTCAATAATAAGGCTTTTCTCCCACTATTTGGTTTTAAAAGAGGAGCCCCAAAAAAAAGAAAGAGCAAAGGGTACTACTCGGGAACCTAGCGGTTTTGTAAGTGCCTGTGTTTAGGGTTTTGGGTTCAGGAGCGATCCAAACTCAGGGCCAACCCCGAGAAATAGCAGTCCTCGGCTGAAGCGGCGCCGCTGTCTAGCCTTGGTCCGGGTTTAGGGTTTAGGGTTTAGGGTTTAGGGGCCTAGGCATTCCTGAGTCTCTAAGGGTAGATACGTCTATTGCGGTTGCGGTTTAGGAGGCTCAGGATCCAATTGCGGGCTTAGCAGGCAGAGGATGTCATAACCCTGAAGCCTAAATTTTCAGATGCTGAATCCCAACTCCTAAACGCCAAGCCAAACATCTCAAACTCTGAGCACTGCAGAAGCGGGAACTTTGGAGGGAGTTGACCCAAGGGTCAATACATGTATATAGTCTGTACACATGTGCCTTCTGTAGAGTCTGAAGCGAGCTCTACCACATGCATAGCAACAGCACAGGGAGTCCAGATCCAGAGACGCTAGTTCAGAACACCACCTCCCCACCGATGTTTGAGGTTCGGGGTTTCGGGAGGGTTACTGGTCTTTTCATGTCGAAAGCTCATCCCCAGTGCTTGTTCACCTAAGTTCGGAGGTATGGCCTGCTCTTGTCTTACGGTTGTCAAGCATCCCCTTCCCAAAGGAGTTCGGCTCGGCTGCAACCATAGTCTCATAACAAAGCACCACTCACTGCACCGCATCTCGAAGAATTGAGCTGCGCCTGTGATGGGCCCCGGACTCCCAAACCGAGTCGATGATCTTCTGCAGACCCCTGGGCTGGGCAAGTAACAGCCAGAGTCACGATTTAGGGTTTAGGGTGTAGGGATTTGGTTTAGGATCTAGGGTTTAGGGTTTAGGGCCGGAGTGCGAGTCGAGCTTTTGCCACTGTGGTCTCAAGGATGTCTCACGAAGGAAAATCGCCCTCGAAAGGCGTGACACTTTGCAGTCAGGACTCCATACTTCACGTCGTGTGCGCAGAAGTACGGTACTCCGTCTAAAACCCTACTTCTTAGAGCCTTACTTAAAACCCCGAGCGTGCAGACCTCCCAGCTACCTTCTTTCGATTCCTGTCCCGACTTATGACCTCTGACGACATGGAATAGCAACAGTTTGTGGTCAGAGCCTGTCGTGACATCACGACTTGAGACTCCATTGAACATATGGTACCCATTTGGATCGATGCCGTGGCATTCAGGATACCAGAAAGAGCAAGGTGAGTCCAGTGCGGTGGGTCTCGATCATAACCAGACCCCTCAACCCTAAACCCTAAACCCTAAACCCAAAACCCCAAAACCGTAAACCCTAAACCCTAAACCCTTAACCCTTAAACCCTAAAGCCTAA